AAAACTCAAGAAAACTCATGCTAGTTTAAAATTGGAGCTTTTGGATTTATAAAAGGAGCATGGAATTTTGATTAAAGATCATTCAACAATTGATTCAAATCATATGGCTCTACTTGATGAATTTGATGATTTAAATAAAAAAGCATTCTGAATTAATTAAAGAGCATGATTCATTAAAAGCTTCACACACCTCACTTGAATCTGATTTTAAGAAATCTAAAAAGATAGAGCAAAATTTGAGAATTGATAATGATGTTTTACATGGTACTAACTTGAGGATTAAAAATGAATTGGATACACTTAAGAAAAATTGGATGACACCTACACTTGATCAAAAGCCAATACTTAAGAAGAGGAATTACTACCCAAACCATTTAAAAAATCCTTTTCCTGGAATTAATTGCTTTTCTTGTGGCATGCTAGGACACATCTCACAAACTTACACTGTTCACCATAGTACATATTAGGTGTGGAGACCCAAATTGCATGATTCACAGCATAGCACACATGCATTGCATTCTAATTTTCATAAGAAGTGACCCAAACCTGCTTGGGTTCCTAAATTTGACATTTGATCATTTTGTAGGTGAGCTCTCACAAAAGGCCTCATGAGAGTATGTGATACCTGGACAACAGTTGCTCTCGATATATGACTGGTGATGTCAATCAATTCGTTTTGTTGGAGACCAGGACAGGAAGCAAGGTTACTCTTGGAGACAACACCACCAGAAAGGTGGTAGGCGTAGGTATAATTGGTAATTCCAAGAACCTTATGATTGAAAATGTTTTGCTTGTAGATGGATTAAAACACAACTTGCTCAGCATCAGCCAGCTTTGTGACAAGGGCTTCATCATACAATTCTTTGAAAATTCATGCATTATAAGTTTAAATAACAATACTGTTTTGCAGGAAAAGTGGATCAACAACGTGTACATGCTTGATTTAAATAACATTAATACGCTATATATTTTTGCTTAAAAACTATTGTTGATGATTCATGATTTTGGCACAGAAGATTATGTCATGCTAGTATGAAAACCCTTAGAAGAGCGACCCAAAAAGATCTAGTTAGAGGTGTCCCCAAACTGAAATTTTCTAAAGACCACCTTTGTGATGCCTGCCAATTAGGAAAGCAAGTTCACTCCACTTTTCACCCATTAAGGACATTAGTATCTCTAGACCTTTAAAGTCCTTCACATGGATTTATTTGGACCCATTAGCACTACCAGCTTGGGAGGGAAAGTTTATGGTTTTATAATTATCGATGACTACTCGAGGTTCACTTGGACTAGATTTCTTTCACACAAAAAAGAGTCTTTTGAGTAGTTTAGAACATTTTTTACTTGAATTCAGAAAAAGCTAGGTTGTGAGATCTTGACCATCCTTAGTGACTATGGGGGAGAGTTTGAAAATGAAAGATTTGGAGGATTTTGTGAGGACAAGGGGATTATCTACAACTTCTCAGCTCCTAGGACCCCTCAATAGAACGGGGTAGCTGAAAGGAAGAACCGGACCTTAGTGGGTCTCACTTAGGAAAATTTGATCCAAAATCTGATGGAGTGTTCTTGGGATATTCCAGTATTGGGAAGTCTTTTAGGGTGTTTAATAAGAGGACTTTTATGGTGGAAGAGACAACACATGTAGTGTTTGATGAGTTTGATCCTAAAATGCCTGGAGTTAAGGATGATGATGATGTTGGAGAGGTTACCATTGGAGTAGAAAATTTGGAGAAGGGAGTAGAACACCAAAACACTCAAGGAGTAGGAGATGTTACCCAAGGAGTAGAAAATATAGATATGGAGGAAAGGG